GGAGAACTTCAGGACATGTTGAGGAGGTCATTTAGCCATTTGAATCAGCTGTGTTGGCTCAAGGAAACATCTAAGACCTGCAGGACACCAGCCCTCAAGGCCTGGAGTTGCCCAACCCTGTCCTAGAGTTTACTGGCTGTCGTTAGATGAAATCCACTGCAAGGAGTCTTCTGCACCAAAAACATCCACACGACTGCTTTGGTCACAAGTGGATGGCAGGGATTGCCTATTGTTTACAAGGAAAACACAGAGCTGTCTGCAAACACTGTTTACTATTCGAGTGTGTTTCCTTGTGTCACTCATACTGCAGGATTTATCTTACTTTATCTATGGACTTCAATGTTGTACTTTTATTGCCAATAAAGTTGTGCTTTTTGTTTATTCCACCAGCCTCCTGAGTTTCCATTTGGGTCCTCAACCTGCAAACTGTAACAGCCTGCAAACTGTAAAAGTTGTGCCTTCCTCCTTAAACCAATAAGTTTCAAAGGACACTTTTACTTTTACACTGAAGGTGAATGTTGAGGTTTCAGCGACACTCCTCACAGCTGCATCTTCCATAAAAACTACAGGTGACCGCAGCGATCAGTTACTGAAGTGTTTGTTAGGAGGTACAGTGGTTTGAAAAAATGTTTGCCCCCTTCCTGTTTTTTTGTATGTTTGTTACACTTAAATGTTTCAGATCATCAAACAAGTTTAAATATTAGACAAAGATAACACAAGTCAAACTAAATCCAGTTCATAAATGAAAGTGCTTGTAATTATATAAGGGGGAAAAAATCCAAACATACGTGACCCTTCGTTAAAAAGTGATTGCCCCCTAAACCTAACAACTGGGCCATCCATAGCAATGAAGTATTTGCAATAACTGGCAATGAATCTTTTACAGTGCTGTGGAGGAATTTTGGCCCACTCATGTTTGCAGAATTGTTGTAATTCAGCCAAAGTTGAGGGTTTTCAAGCATGAACCACCTTTTTAAGGTCATGCCACATCATCTCAATCAGATTCTGGTCGGGACTTTGACCAAGCCACTCCAAAATCATTGTCCTGCTGCAGAATCCTCCAGTACACTTCAGCTTGAGGTCACAAACAGATGACTGTTTGTAAACAGCAGAATTCATGGTTCAGTTATTACAAGTCTTCCAGGTCCTGAGGGAGCAAAACAGCCCCAGACCATCACAGCACCATATTTTACTGTTGGTATGATGCTCCTTTTTGTTGTTTAAAGGTCTTTTGTGACCTCTTAAATGACATCATTGCATAACCTGTTTACCAATTACATTACCAATTACATTCCTTTTTGCCATCAAAACAAATCAACCTGACTTTCAGTCAGCTTGATTTGAGTGAACTCAGCTTTGAGAGCAGAGCTGCCTGTAAGCGCATGAATCTACTGCAACGCTCGCCAAGCAGACACTCGCATCTACAATGGCTTCTTTGTGCATCTAGCTGCTGAGTTCTACGCGCGGGTTATTGATTTTGAGGAATTTGACTGCACAAGTGCCAAAATATAATTCCATATAAATATACATGTTCGTATATTTACTGGAATATATCTGTGCACACAGTCCGGGCAAACATTAGAACAGTCTGCGGGACTCAGATGTGTGTAAAACTAAAATATCTCAATCTTTTGTCCATCAGTTTTGTCCATCTTTTGGAAGAGGTGCTGGACAACTGGAAAGTGGATGTGTGTGCATTTATTTAGGCTGCAGTCTCTCTGTGTTCTCCTTACTTTCTTATCCTGCCTATTTTTTATCTACTAAGTTAAAAGCAGACAACCATCACTTAACTTTCTCTTCTTCACTCTTCTTCATAATTGTATTGCTCATTTTCCCTCTCTTGATGTTTCCCTAATTCCATCTCTCTTCATTGCTCCACTCTGATCTTTAGCTCTTCTATTTTTATTCCTCACTTTTCCCAATATACTCCCAATGAAGACACCACCTCTTTCAACGTAAAAAAAAAAAACTCCTCTTCTTTTCTTACATCTCATCTCCACCTCCACCTCTTCTTTATTTTCCCACCCCTCCCTCTCACTCTCCATCCAGCTTTCTCAGGCTTCCACTCTCCCACTCTTTCGCTGCCTCTCTCCTTCTCCACCTTTCTCTCTTTCTCTCGTCCCTCTCATATTCTCGCACTCTTTCTCTCTCCGTTCTTACCTCCAGCCAGTCGACATTGACTCGTCGCAGCAGGAAGATCACCTCTCCCTTCTTCAGGTTCAACTCCGCCTTGCCGTTGCCGCGAAAGTCAAACATCGCCTGAGAAACACACACACACGCACACATACACACCACAAAAGAGAGAGTACACACACGCGCACGCACACACAAAGTCAGTGAGAGAAAAGAGGAGCGATTTAAAAGAGCATACGGATTCAACACAAAGAAGGAACAATGACGGGTAAGACACTTTTTGCATGTGTATAATTAAGAGAGGAGAGAGCGAGAGAAAGAAGGGACGCTAGAACAAAAATTAGCCTGAAGATGATAATATTTTTGAGCAGAAAAGATATGTGATAGAAAGAAAGTGAAGTTGTGAGTCTAAGAAGAGTTTTAAGGTATGTTTGTGTAAGAGAGAAATAAAGCACAGGAATGAGGAAAGGAGGGCTGCCGAAGTAGAAGTGTTCTTGCTGATACTGGTAAATATGTGTAAGCCTGTCAAACTCTACATGTGTGTGTGTGTGCGAGCTAACACTGCAGCTGAGGATCAGTTCCAGTAACAACTATTATATATTTATGGAATTTTGAGAATCAGAAATAAAAGTGTGACAAACGCTTGCGTCCAAGGTTAACCATTTTTATAGATGCCTATTTTTTCTAATCTAGAAAACATTTATGTACTATACCTGCATGTGGCACCGTTTACATAACATATGATATACAGTGTCTGTAGTCACTTCTACAAGCGTGAGTGTGTGTAGGATGAAGTCAAAAGCTGGTACGAGGACAGTGGAAAACTCAAAAGTTATACAGCCTGAGGAGGCGCCACACTGCAATGTAAAGGTGTGTGTGTGTGTGCATGTGTGTGTATGAAGGGGTGGCTAGATACTCGACTGTCCTAGTCTGCATCAGTGCGTGTGGAATAAAAGCCTCCCAAAGTTGAATTTGCATTTTAAGTAGAACTCAGTAGAGTCATTACCGGGGCTCTACACCTATTCACATCCTTTTGCTAAGAGACTCCTCAAACACACAGATGACAAACAGCCTATTACACACACGCACATTGTGTAATACACAACGACAAACACACTCAAACTACAATAATCTTTTACTAATACTTGTTCTGTATTAATCTGGAGTGCGCACTCAAATACACAACATTCTTGTTGGTGTACCGCGCACTCACATTAGCATTCACGCCCCACACGGGCGTGAATGCTAATGGGGAAGAGGACGAGGGAGGGAGCTGGAGTGGTGGTGGGGTTAGAGTGAGAGACAATGGGAGGAAAGCCATTACATGAGGGAGTGAAAAATAACAAATACAATTTGGAGAATCAGAGAGGTTGGGAGCGACTGAAAAAAGAATGCAGAGCGGTTACATCAGTGGGAGGGAGGTGAAGATGAGGAGGAGGAAGAGGTGGAAAAAGAGGAGGAGATAAGAAAAGTTAAAGTTAAGCAGAGGCACGGTGCTGGGGAAGGCAGTGAGTGAGTGATGGAGTGAGATAGCGAGTGAGTAGGGAATCTCTGTTTTTTCGTACTTCATGATTTGGCAGGACGTGAGAACTAGGCTGCTGAGGGATGTAAGATTGAGCACATGTGTGGACAACAGAGGTAACGCTCTTGTAAATTCACAGTGATGTGTCACATGTGCTGCCTCCTGCACACCATCCGTGCAGCTCTCTGACATAAGTGAATGGAGGATTTCCAGTTATGTGTTCAACCTGATCCTCCTGACACACTGAGAGAGGTTCATGTCTGTCATGTTTGGTTTTTAAATTTGGTGCTTTGCAAGTAACATCACCAATTCCAGCTAATCTGTGATCTTTTTCTAGTCATTTTGGCCGTTTCTCCACACGTAAACTATGATTTAGGTCATTGAAGATGGAGATGTTATAAATCCCTTTCCTGTAGTGGAAACAGAAACTTTTGTCTTGTAACATCAAAGGTGCCTTTATGTTCTTTTTGACACCAGTTAATTATGTTTCGAAGCATATGATTGGCCAAGATTTCTGTTCAGTTAGATTTATATTTGTTTGCCTGCTCTTAATATTGTTTGTTTGTTTTTGGATTTTTGCATTTTCATGAGGCCATTTTTTCCAAACGAAAGCTGAAAATCCCCGTTTTAAAAAATACCTGACTGAACGGAGCTTTAATCAAGAATCACAATAAATGCTAACGCTATGTTGTCTACGGGATGTGTAAAAGCAGCTGTTTACCAACATGCTAGCTTTGACATGTTCGCATGGCGTGCGCGACATTCCTGCCAGAGACACAAATCCCCTTTGGGGCCATCCTGGTCAAACAGGAATAACTACCTGCTGTGTTGAACCCTTGTGACAAGGGAGCAGCTGAAATTAGCTTCTTCTTTATGGTCTGTATGGAGTATGCATGTTGTTGCACTCCCCCAAGTGGCCAAAAATATTACTGCAGGTTCAAGACGTTTTGAACTGGTTCCTGTGGTAAGTACATAGTATACTTATCGTATCGTATCAACAGCCATATACAAATTGAGTTAACCACATACAGAGATGGTAATATGAATAGTGACTGTAAATAAATACATGCTGTAAGCTGTAATCAAAAACAACAGAAAGTGCAGAGTGCAATTTAAATTCAGGTGGTGTTTTTGTAATTTCCTTCATGGATGTCACTCCTGCGATGTTTGGAAATCCCATTTTGACCACTTGCAGGCACATCTGCAGAGCAAAGTGGATCTCCTTAACCCACATTAAAAGTGAGCGTTTAACTCAAATTGCACTGAACGTACTAGCTCACGACCTCAGGGAGTAAGAGTACAGCACGCTCGTAACAGTCTGACCTGGCAGGGCAAGTTCTGTTTCACAACGCAGCAAGCATATCCGTGCATGCTTCTGGTCACGCTGCTGACCTGATGCACCACCTTCTGGTTTGGGTGATGTGGGTGTGTAAATAATAGCCACAGATCTAACTTTTGTCACCATTCAATCTTGTCTGTGCAAATCCATAGAGAAACAGAACAAAACAGGAGTGATCTAAAAACCAGTACGAGCACCAGCAGCTATGAGCTATCCACAAGTAGACTACACTGAAGTGTTAACAGACACAATCACTCAGCCTTTTGGTCACACCTGATATAGCCTGCATTAGAAACTTGGTGTGTAAATCCTAAATTTTACTTTCAGTTCTGTGTCTGTGTCCAAATCTGAGTGTGAGTGAGTGCACGTGTGTGCTGCATGTGTGTCCACAGAAAATGAGACGCAGACTGGTGGCAGATTAATGAAGCTGGGGAGAGAGGGAGCTGGCTGGATTAACAATCCACTGAGATTACCCTGACCCTGAGGACACGTGCGCTTTGAATTTGGGGCTGCTATTTTTAATGCATTATTCCAGACGCTGTTTTTATTACAGCGTTGACCCGCCGCTGCCTGTAATTTATAGATGATGGGACAATGTGTTGGAGATGATAAGCTGGTATCTGTAGCACAAACACAATATATGATGTGACAAAGCAATTCCCCATCTTTCTGCACCTCTTTTCTCTCTCTCCAATGCAGCGCCAGCTTTATTCCGCCTCTTTATCCTTTTACTTCTACTTGTCATTTTCCCTTTATCTCTGTTTCAGCCTGTTTCATCCAGAGACTCCTTTCTGTTTTTAAACTATGTCCCTCTGCGTCTCCATTAATAATTCAGCCTTCTAATCAAGTCGTTAGCTTGATGAGTGTAAACTACGAGTTCTACGAGTTGTTGGTAAGATTGGGCTGCGCATAGACATATGACTAAGTGTTAGATGCAACAAACGTTATGATGGTGATGTTGGTCGTTGTTAACATTTATGGGAGCTGGGTGGGAAGAATTTGTCCTCAATGTTATCCTGAGAGGCACACAGGAGGAAATCAAAAGGGGTTCAGTTCAAGCCCCCAGCAATCATTAGCTGAGCTTTGAGGTGATTTTAGCAATGTGATGACACTATGATCATGTGATGCCAAATGACCCAAAAAGATTGTCTGCCATACAACACCGTAACAAAATGACCACCGGACTCTTTATCTGGCCAGTACAGTGACTTTTAGAAAGACTGTAAGCCTTAAGGAAGTAAGCTTTCATACATTTATAAACATGTAGTTTTTTCTTCTATTGTCTTATTCCAGCATTCATTTAAGATTAAATTCCTCACAAAAAGAAAAGGAATCAGCTCCTCCCCCCAGCAGTGACATCAATAGAGGCAGAACTGAAAGCAGTCAAAGCATC